AATTAATCAATCTATCTATCCAGAAAGTCTTTAGAATAAGGTGCATCATGCCTTAGAGTTTTTTCCAGTGAGTACAAAGGCAATCTATACAAGTAGTTATTATGTACACTTGGATAGGTAAGACCCTCCCCAGTTCTTTCAAAATTACACAGTTTGCAGAAACAAAACACTAAATCAGAAAATATACTTACTTTAAACTCACTACAAAAAAATGTCTTTGTGTATAAAATACCAGTATGTTGTTACAGTTAAGATTTTCACTGAAAATTAACAGATTTGTACCTACATTTCAGAAGTGGAAGAATGACTAGGATGAAGAGAACATGAAGAATAACCACTCTGTTTTCTTGAAGGAACTAAAATAATTAATAAATATCATATTAGAATATAGCTATATCCAGTGATATGTATTCTATAATTAGTATCTTAAACCAACACTTCTTACTGGAAAGTGGATTTCTACTTGTATTGGAAAATGGTAGTTGTGTCGTTTGTTCAGGAGGTTTCATACTAAAGGGGAAATATAAGAAACAACAGATATAAATTGAAAGCTGGTTTGGTTAGTTCATTTGTCTAGCTGGTCAATAAAGCACAAAATCAAAGCATTTTATCCATCAACAGCTGATTTTAACATGACATTATTTGCCATGAAGAAAAATAACAATCTATTTGATAAGCTATTAACTTCTCTATATCACAATGTCTGTATCAGTCATTACATGCCCAACAATATCAGTTGAGGATAACATTATGGCAAAGTACTTTATGGAACAACAGATGTTAAAATACAACTATTAACTACAGTTGAGCCAAAAATCTTCATTTCGATGTATACGTTTCCCAAACTTTAAAAAATCTAGTTATCAAAAGAAATGTTGGCATATTTATGCTATTCACCAACAGCTATGTAAAACTGATACCTTTGCCAAAAACCATAAATAAGAGGAATAAGTCTACTGGGCATGCAAGGAGAAGCCCTAGGTCACACTCTCTTGGTAGAAATCTGAAAAATCTGAAATTCAGTAAGAGCTCTGTATTTGGTATAACGAAGATGCTATTTGTTTGAGATGCAGACAAGAAAAAGGAGGAAGTGGATAAAAATATATAAACTATGATAACCCACCACATACAGTTTCCTTTATATTGTTTTTCTTTCAGTTATATTACACCAAGCAGCATAAGAAAACATAATACAGTATTATGTGCACGTCAGAGTCAAAAGAAAGTCTATACTGAAAAAACCACAGAAAAGGAATAAAAATTAAAAAAATTTTGCAATTAAATTGCTGGCTTCATGAACTGGCTTATTAAGGAGACTTCAGCATCCTTGATCACTGGTATTCATAAGGTGGCATTCATGAAGGGCTTCTCTCAAGAAGATGGATCTATAGGGAGAAGTATATTGTAACTATACACTAAATACTCTTAATACCCATATTCACTAAAAGGGAAAAGCAGACCAAACCTGCTAGGTTTTTTTCCCAGTAGTTTTTGAAATCTTAGAAAATGGGAAGGATAGAATAGGACTTAGAAACAAATGCTATATGCAAAATGTAATAATTTCACCATAGGTGGATCACAGTAGATCAATCTGATATCTTTTTTGTTTTGTTTTATGTTCTGGTAAGCAGATTTTTTTAAACAGTAGTAAGATAGTACATTTTTTTCTGCAGTAATTCAATTTAAACATTGGAGTGCTGTATATGCCACGTGGACTTTAAAGCAGAGGTAAGAGCGATTAATTCAGGTAAGTATACCATAAAAAACGTTAAAAGGGAAACAACAAGAAGAAAGGTTGAAGAGAGTGCAGAAATGTTATTAGTGATGTCTCCTTCAGTTTAGTCTTGCAACTGATCCTGTTTAATATACTCCCTGGTGACTCAGGAATAGCCTGCAGTTTGTGAAATCTGAAGACAGAAAGTTCTGAAGATAGAAAGTTACATCAGTATTGAGGAGAACTACATAATGATTTAAAAAATGTGATATTTTCAAACGAATAATTGAAATAACATTTAATGAAATGAAAAGTAATAGCACAGAGTGCACTTAGGGCTCAATAAGAACTTTGGCTTTGAGTTGGAAATAAATAAGATGGAAAGATTAAGATGTATCAGTCAATGAGCAGGGAGATAACGATGAGCTACCTCTTGGCTCTCTCTTTGACACATTCGTGAAAAAAGACTAATTTAAGATGAGTCAAGAAGTTGATTTTTACCAGAAACAGAGAAGATGAGAATCATGTTGCAAAACTCCGGTAATTTCGTAACTGGGCTAGATTCTAGGAAAGATACCATAGTACTTTCCAGGCTGATGTTGTAAAGCCCATTGGAAAAAACACAACCATGTTTATGTAAACGCAAATAAAAATTTTAAAACTGAATATCTATATGATAGAGATTGCTAAAAGTTCATTTTTAGAGTAACTACTGACTTGAATTTAAAAATAAAAGGATTGCTTCCTGACAGCCTTTTTAATATGAAGAAAATGGACCTGATGACAGAAATCACTGTTCATTTATTTCTGTAAAAATACGGTTCTTCTATTTATACAACACAATATATGAGAAAGACAAACAAAGCATGACTTTTTTATTGTTTTATCAATTAAATTTACTGTTTTCTGATTACAAAGACAACTTCTCATTTACTTTTGCTGCATTAAGCCTCTTACCATTGTATCTGATGCATTTGTTGTGTTACTTTCTTGAGAGATTCTTCCAACTTTACCGTCTGTGAGACAATCATAGATTAAAAAAAAATCTATTTGTGTGATATACAACTTCATTTTCATACAACTAGTATTCTAAAGTGTTGAAAGGCTGTTTTCTATTGGTTTTAATCTTAGATATCATTGCTATTCCAGATTTACTGGGGCAAGACTATAGCTGTTATATGGATCCATTAAACAGTCAGTCTGAAAAGATACACTTGTTTTTGGCAGTTATAGACTTAGTTTGATAACCTTTTGTTAAGCATCCTGGTAATATTGGTTAAATGAATACTAAGAAAAGTGCTTAAAAACAGTTTGCTTTTATTTTTCGTCTTTTCCATATCTGATATAAAAGTTATGTTGCACTTAATATGGAATTATCTGGAAAAGATACCAATAACTGTACAAAATACCAAATACCATGTTCCCGTATTTCTCATTTTGGATTCAGATTTGTTCAGTACTTTGCAGTATGTATTTGTAATAAGCTTATGTGAAGAGTATTTCCTACTATGTTATAGACACAACCAAAAATAACATCCATTAAAAAATGTTATGAGCTTGCAGAATTGAAGAACATTAAGGTCAAGAACATTAGGTCAACTCCCTAGTATGTGTATTTTTTACAGTCTTTCATTACATGGTCATACATTATATTTTATGAAGGATGTAAAAATTTACTCAATAGCCTCAATATTGCATCTATATCTTATCTTTAATTTCCATTGTGTGACCTTAGTCCTTCATTACTTCATACTATTCATACTTTGATTTGAAGACAAATTATGAATTTTCTTGTTAACTTTTCATGCTTCTCCTCACAACATTATTTGAATTCTTTAATAACATTACCTGATACACCTTTATAAAATCATATTGTTTGTGTGAGATATTATGCTCTTTTTGCAGACGTGAAACTCTGCAAAACAGATTAAAGACAAAATCTAATTTACATAAGATCTGATTATTTTTCTTTTTCCTAATGAGAGCTAAGTTTGATTAAGAAAGTGACCAGTACAGATGTTAGGAACAATGTACTTTACCCTGCCACTCTGGACAGGGATCATTTTAAGGCCAAAATACCTTAAGGAAGGTGAATAACTATTTGGTTTTCAATGTCTTTGGATCCTAGCACAACACAAGGTCTAGACTTGCCAGGAATATGGACATCATCTGCACCCCAGTATCTGAACAACTCACAGAAACAGCAACAAAGAAGCTTCTATCAACATCTTGAGAGCTGTTGGTTGACAGTGACAAGGATGATGTACTAGAAATAAGGAAGGGGACCACAAACAAGCTAGCCAAGCATAAAAGCCCGGTTGTGAATTTCCTTATGCAGTACTCCTCCTTTCCCAAAGGCCAAGACCTGCAGAGTGGAGAATGGCAGGAAGAACCACTTGTGTCAAAGGGTAGATTTGTGCTTCCTCACCTCCCCAGGGGTCATTGCCATTTGCCGAACTGTTTATACTGTAAATCATTCTTGCTCCATCCTTTTCTCACTCACCTTCATCTCAAAGCCAGTGGCAGGAAGACTCAGATGGAGATTATAACCCTGAGGGTGAGCATCTACTCCCACTCTCTGAACATGTGTGCCTCTGCCAGATGTGATCTAGCCTTCCCCAGCTCCTTCAGACTCCCTCCCAGTGGCCCTGAAAGAGGGAGCATTGCTAACTGAAACTCACAGGAAGGAGACAGATATATCATTGCACAGGGGAAACTCTTCTCTTCCTTGCTCACCTCAGCTTCATTGTCAAACCATTTCTCCACCAGAACAGCCTCACCAGTGATAGCCATAGCTGCACATAGGGTATCTAAGACAAGTGGCCTCTTCTGACCCTGATCCAATGCAAGCAGTTTTAAAATACTAACAAATACATAGAGTGGACAAAAAACCAACAAAACCACCCAAAACAGTGTGCCATTGAAATAGCAACCAACTAAACCTACAGCTGTTTCTGTACTGTCACCTAAACGCCTTCCTTAGGTCAAGCAGCGTCCTTGAGTACTTCACAACCACTGTTAAATGGATATCTCAACAGTAAATAAACTAGAAACTTACCATCAAAAAGTATCAAAACTCCGCACAGACTCTTTGGAGATAATGTTTCTATTTATGCAACATTCTATTAAAAGTTGTATTTTATTTTGCCTACAGGTTTCAGTTTTACCATCCCGAGTCAGTACAATAGATTAGAAGGGGGCATAAAATCAGGATTCCTCCATGGCCTGGCTTTGAAAGCAGAAGGACAGGACCTTGAAAGAACTACACACTCCACAGTACATTAGGACGGATCCCAAAATGCATTCATGGAAAACAGGGGAGAATGGGCCACAAAGCACTTAAGTTTCCAAGCTGTTCTATCCATGAGAACCATATCAGACGCTCTCCTCACACACAAAATGGCCAATTGGCCAGCTATATGAGTTTACCTCTGCCATTTCATACACAGGGCATACATGGGTAGTAGCTTTAAGTAATATACCTGGACATGTCCTTAGAAATGAATGAAACAGCCAACTGTTTTATCAAGTATTTAGAAGTATCTGAGAAATGAAAAAGAAATTTTCTTTCCAACCTACAGAGGAAGAGGCGATGTCACAAATTCAGTACCTGTTCTCCACAGAATAATTTATTTTATTCCTCTTCCCATTGAGCTATGCCTAACTCAGGGTACTAGCCCTTAGTCTTGCTCTCCATTGCTCAAGCTTCTCATTTAGTTTGTCAGCCCTAGTCATCTTTTCCTCTAGACTTATCTGAGTACCAATCTCTCCCCACCTCTTCCACCTTCTCCTCCATGCAGTGAATTGGTTTCTTCTCTCCCTGTCCTTAGACTCTTCGTTTAATCTCAGTCACCCCATAACTAAAATCTGTTTTATTAAATAATAGTAACCATAATTAATAAAGTCCTCATAGATTTTAAACAATTAAAAACTGGTATTTATAATGACAGAAATGAGGCAATCCTGATAAATTGTTCTAAGTATTCCAATAAAAGGTGAATATATTTTCTAAAAATAAACCAAAGTAACAAGGCAAACATAAGCAAAGAAAACCACAGTTAGAGTTACCTTTTGTCTGTGATATGCTAATAAATGTTTACGATGTTTTTCTTGAAATTCTGAAATCTAAAAATAAATACAATTATATCAAGCTTCATGTAATTACATTTATGCAACCTCAGCAAAAAAGTGATGGAGAAGAACTACTTCACAGTATTCAAATTTTTCTATATTTTAATAATATATTTAACATATATTCTTTAAATGCTTTCTAACAAAACATGCCAAGTTATTATCACTGATAAATAAAGTCTTACAAAGTTTATTTAATCTAGTATGACCTACACTAGAGTTGGTAGATTTATTTCACTGAATTTATATTTTAACACTATGTTCAGTAACAAGGTAAAGACATTGGAAAGCCAGTTTAGCTGCGGTGTTTCTTATTCATTAGTGCTAAGCAAACACATAAAATTAATGGCAACATAAAAAGTAATGTGTCTTAGTGGCAATTATAACTTGCCTTGTAAAAATATCCTGTTAATTAAAAAATAATTGTTGGACACACTGTCTGGTGGTGTGTAAGCACTTCTTGTGTCCAAATGAGGATCATAAACCATGACAGGTTAAAAGTGAAAACACACAAGGTAGGCAAGACAAGAGCCTGAGGAACAAATTACAATAGGCAATAACTTACTAATAAATCTTTCTTCTCTCGTATAAGAAAACTGCCAGAAAATGTGCAGGGATAGAGACAACAAAGACGACACACTCCTCTCCATAGTATGTGATGGATGCTAAATACTTACAAAACAACTATCCACCAAAAGCTTTTGAATGCAAAGACACCAGCCCCACCTTGAGAAATCCCTGTACCACAAGCTGTTGAAAGCTAGGAGGCTGTTCTGAAGACATATCACTACATGGCAGCCTTGCTCTCATATGCTTTCCTAAGCACCCGCGGTTGTGACAGGATATTAGACTAGATAAACCTTTGCCCTAACAGAGCACAAGCTGCTTTTATGTCTTTTGATGCTGGTAAAAGCTCTGAACATACCTTAATGCCTTAATTACACTTCAATATGTTTCCCATAGGCTATCTCAGGCTACAGAAAACCCACCTTAGTCTTTTGAGTTTTTTCCTTTTTTTGACACGTTACAGAAGTCTGTATTCACGTGTGATTGGTGGTATAGCTGTCTGGATTTGTTCAGTTTACAGAATAACTGCTGATCATCGTACATGCTGTTAAAAAGTGTGTATGGAAGGACAGAGGAAGGCTTCTTGTTTACCTTGTGTCACCTTGTAACTTGGGAGGAGGAGTGCTGAGGAAAGGGACCACGCTCAGCTTTGGAGAAGTTTGTGAAGCATAGAGTAGAGCAAATGTGAATCCATAATCACCATTAAAGAAAGCAGGTGATCTTCCCTGGGTTACTCTTCTGCTGGATCAGCAAGCTCAGCACAAGACCAAACAAGTACCAGCCCAAGGGAGATGAGAATACACAGTGAAGGTTGCAGGTGTGTTCAGGGAGAATGTACTACTACAGTTCAACCTAGAGTGGTTGCTCAGTAGAGGGACAAGGACAAGTCCCAAAGCCAAGCTGAAAAGATGCAGGAAATGAGGAGGCAATAGGAGTTCATATGTATTCATTTAACCCAGACAGCTACTAAAGTTCTGGACTGGAAACTAAGCCTGAAGGAAGGGATCCTGCCTGGAGTTTACAGAAGGCTAGGAGGAAATTTACCTTGAAATCTTTTATTGCATCTGTCTGAAAAAAGCAAACCTGTTTTGGGTTTTTTGGCTTTTTAGGAATTAGATTGTTCTTATTTTTAATAAAGCCTAGCCTTTGAGATCGGGGATCTTTGTTAACTTGCTTGCTTTGATTTTTAAAAAAAGAGAGAGAGAGAGAGCATTCAGCTCAGGGTTTTAGCCAGCTCAGGTTTTCACTGTGTAACTTTTTATTGCTATAATTAGGGCACACTATCTGGGCATGTTTAAGGTTCCGGCAGATCTAATTTTTCATTGCATGGCATAGAAAGTGATTTTACATCATTAAAATAACCAGACTAGTGGTCCTCAGAGAGAGTTTGAAAACATAAGCTGTGACCGTGATGAATAATTTATGCTTTCTTAAGAACTTTGAAACTGTGGAATTAAGAAAGTAAAGACGGTAACGGGCATACATTCATTTTTAAGCATTCACTCATATATTTTTCCCATTTATACAAAAATCAGTAGCAGTTGCTAATTATTTTATAGAGTTAAAAGGTTTTAAGGCAGATTCACCTGTGTTATTTCTTTTGAATATTTCTTGCATAACGTATCTATTCCCATGAACAGTGATTGAATATCAGGATTTGTCTACCAAGAAAAGAAAGTATACCAAAGTTAGCATTTCTACTTGCAAATTATATTAAATAAAGCATTTTGTGAAGCGTTCCTTAAATTGATTGATGTATATAAATAAAAAAATGACAGATCAAGAGTAGGATGATACAGAAATTGAAAACAAGACCGGTTTTATTTAATGGCCTCATTAACCATCTGGAAGGCTTTGTGCTTTTGTTTAAATATATTACACATATATACACATATGTTATTGTAACTAAGACGATGACAATTTCTAGAGGACATTCAAGGAAGATGTTGTGGTCCCCTGGAAAAGGCATTGCCTTCAGACCAACAGCCAGGTTTCTGGCAGTCCTTTTCCCAGCTTTCTCACCATCCCTAGCCACATGGATGCATCTTATAATCAGTTTTGGTTCAAAGTCCTTTTTTGGAATGTTTCCAATGCTGACTGGGATCCCCTTATCTCTCCTGCCTGTTGGGCAGCAGAATGCTATCCTAGCATAAGAAAAAAGCCCTAAAATGATAGTTGAATTTTTCAATTATTTTATGACTGAGACTTTTAATCAGAGATTATGATGTGGCCTCACAAATGGCCATCTGTGTTTTTAGAAAATGCTGAGTAAGTGTTCTGTACTTAAGCTATCATTGTAATAAAGACATATTTATTATTTATGGTGACAAAGAAATGCTACAAAATGTAAAGTGAGTTTCAGAATGATAGTGACATTTGGACATCTATCCAAATCTACAAAGCAATGTAGATAACTTAGTTAAGTGTTACTTTAATCCAGAATACATGTATTCCTAATTTATTCATAAGAAAAACAAACAAAATACAATCCCAAAATAATTACAATACAGTACTAAGTTAAAATATTATATTACACATTTCTATCATCTTCTACTGTAACAGTAAACAGCTTTTAAAAATGAGCCAAAAAACCCTCAACTACCTGTAAATTGTAAACTGTAAGGTTCTTTTTGATATACTGTGATTGTATAATAGAAGGTAGGTTTACGACTAGCCAAAAGTTGAATAAAAAAGCAAAAACAATCCCAGCATACTTAGATGATAAAAGAAGATTGTCCCAGAAAGAAGGCATCCTTCAGGTAAGGAACCACCTTTCAAAATCCAATCAAAAAGAACTGAAACTGTTGCAGGAAAAATGTAAATTAATCCCAGAAGTACTAAAGAATCTCAAAAAGTTTAAAAAATTAAAAAATTAAAGAAAGGTGAATTATTGAAAGAAATAAGAAGTAGGCCACCTGTGAATGAAACAACAGTTTTCTAGGCTACTAAGAAAATAGAAAGATAAGTGCTATCACTTAAATTAAATATATTGCATTGAAATAAAAAAGAGTTAGGCTTTGCTCCATTTGGAAATGCACAAACATATAGAGAGACAATATTTTTACCTACTCCAAAAATAGTGTAACACTAGTATAAAGTCAAATATCCAAGACTAAATAACAGCTGTATTTGCCAAACCCATTTTCAAAGTGTGCTTATATTATATATTTTTAATAATAAGAAGGAATTGAGTCTCATATCTATGAAAAATAATTACCTGAGTAGCTAAATTAATAACCTGGATTTACAACAGATTTATATCTTTTGTTCCCCATATTCTGACATCAGCTACTTCGATGTCCTGTATAGCAATTCATCTGAGAAAAGGTGGCATGCACTGTTTGGTTACTGTAGAACTGTGCATGTGGCTGCCAAATGCACTGCTGCTAACTGATGAGCCATACTTGCACTTCTCTCACCAGGGGAACTAAACTGCTTTTCCTTGCTTTCCCTAGCTACTAATTTTTATAGAACTCACAGGAGGAAATTAATTGCATTTGAAACTTCCTCTGCTCTTTTGAATTTGGTTGACATTAGCTAAAGCATTCAAAAATTTCCACAGGGTGAATTGGCAGACTGACAAAGAGAAAAGCAGACAGGCAGATAGCACAGTCTAACCTAACTACAGTATTTAAGTAAAGAAAATACAAACAAGACAATAAAATTTCATCGAAAAAAAATTAATGTGTTCATAAAAATACATTTGGCATCTTTAAAATGTATTCATAGGAGGCAAGCTCTAGAAACCTATTTAGGCTCCTAACAAAACAATGACCTTGGTTTAAGAACCTATCAGATCTGAGAAAAACAAAAACCAACCAGCTTCGTTGCTGATTTAAAAACTCTTTAAAATAAAGGTTTGTAGAACACTGTTTATATTTTATCTGTTGCATGGAGGAGTAGCAGATGGTAACATGATATTCTGAAATAATGAACAGCAAGATTCTGATTTATCATAACACTTAACCATCCCCTGGGAAAAAGCAAGTGTGGATTGTGAAACATAGAGGAAGATCTAAAGGTCTCAAGCATGCATTGCTGTAAAGATGAGAATATTTAATGTGTAGATGTTGATTGCCCCGATATACAATTTAATGAAGAGTTTTAACACATTTATAGGACCCCCTACTCATTGGGAATTCTTCCATAGCATCAAGCTCATAAAGGTTACCAGATATATTTCCACTCAGGTTCCTGAATTATAGAGCCATGACTTTTTTATATGCATCTTTAATTATCATTCCAATCATTTTATCTGTTCTTAATCAAGGCTAAGCAATCATCATTAATGTCTTTTTTAAAGAATATGGTAATTTGCTTCCTTCCAGTCCTCCAGAGCAGTGGCAGGTTCTAATGAAACATCTAATATTTCTGTTAGTATCCCAATCATTGCATTTTTAAATTCCTTCAGTATTTTTGAAGCAAATCATCAAGTTCTGTTGAAATACTGCAATTTAAGACTGCTCTAACTTCAAAATTAACTTTGTTTTGAGCAACGTGTTGGACAAGATGACCTCCAGAGGTCCCTGACAACCTAAATTATTCTGTGACTGAAATTAATAACATAATTTGCAGCCAGGGTAGGCTGATATTGAAAGCTATTAAAATACCTCCTTTAGAAGTTTTATGAGGGGCTTTTTGGGTTTTTTTACTTGATTACTGTGTGCATTGTTCCTTTGCATTATGTTTGCATTCTGTCGTTTTGCTGTAATTTTTTAGTTTTTGTAGCATTGTGTTCTTCACCCTGTTTCAGTTCTGCAAGATTCTGTGTTTACAAATATGAAATATAGTGTAACACTTTTTTTACTTTTTTATATACAGTATACAGAGGTAGAGGTTTCTGTATTTAGATATACCTCAGCTCAGTTTTAAACATATCTAGAGAAACCTCTAGAGAAATCATGCCCTCCTTCAAAGGTTCAAGGTTAGTCCCAAATTGTCCTCTATTTCACATACATGATTGCCTTATAACCTTGTAGGACTTTACATGTTAGCTGTATTGAATGCTTCTAGTATTTTTCTTCTATCATTGTAAGGCAGGCTTGTCTCTTAGGTAGGCATCAGTCTAGGAAAATATAAATGTTTTCACAACCCATTTATGAAATCAGCTAAGGAGAAGATGGTTTCTGGGAGAAATGGGAAAATTAAATCTTTCTAATGATTATTCAAGAAAGGGAATTAAAAGCTATTCATTCTCTGGTGAATTACAAGAATTCCTAATAATATTTCACATCCTCTCTTAATCACATGGCCATGAGGAAAATAGTTAAGCTTAAAAGAAAATAGGTAAATAAACTCAATACACTTGGAAACACTGATGTGCCACCATGCAGATTTTCGATTCAGTCCATCACATGAAATAATTCATTACAGTCCACTTTCTCTGATGTACAAATGCCAAAGTCAATAAATATTTTTCCATATTTTGAAAGTAGTCACTGATGTTACACAGTAGCCAGTCACGTTTCTTGAAAAGGTTGGAGTGATTTACAGCCCATTAGAATCTGAAAACCTAAAGAGTCTCCGTATGCTTTTATTCGAAGAAATCCATAAAACTAAAAGCTGTATAGTGCATAAGTATCTAAGTCTACCAACCTATCATCAGTAAATATTTATGTCACAGTTGGCAAACAAAAGGGAAATATTTTGTAATGCAAATAATTCAGCTGTTAAGCAACCTACAGATTAATGTAATACAACAATACTGAAGCTTCATTTACCTGTTTTGAAAGGAATAATGTACGACAAGGAGTTCTACATATCAAACATTCATCTTTTTTGCCTGTAAGGTAAAGACACATTTAAAACATACATCAAACTCAATAGATATTGAATACATTTTTAATAGAATTTGATGCCTAAATCTTTGTTTGGAGCTTGTGGAAGGAATCTCAAGGTTATACAAGAAATGCAAATAAACATGAATAAAGAATTTGATTCTATAACCATTACACACAGTTGCACAGGGAAAACGCGTGTGAATGTCATCAAGCCTTACTCCTGCAAATAAGCATTCACGTAAATGATTTTATGAATATCATTAGTGTCACTGAATGCAGGTGACTTTTAGTTCCTTTGATTTAAATAGGACTACTTGCCTGGTTTAATTAAATGTATGCTTAAGTGCACTAATGAGTTAGAGTCAACGAGATATATGACTTTTTAGATTGGGGCCCACCCTGGCTCTCTCGATAAAATATATGAAAACTTAACTTCAAAGAATTAATAATTTTACCTTGTGAATTTTTCCAGTAAAAAATTCATCACATCACTTTTTAAAACTTTATTATTTTTAAAATGTCTCTTTGATTATTTGCAAACATATTAGCAAACATTTCTAGTAAATGCTTATGACTACAATTTGTAATTGATAATTTTACTAGCTGATTCCTTTCTAAGGATTCTAAGGATCAATATTTATAAACATCTTTAAAGAGTAAATACATTTTAAACCTGATATTACCATTATTATTGAACGACAGCAAAAAAATATATAATGTCTCAGGTTTTTTTCTGCCAAATAATATTAACAGCAGAAAGGAAAGCTGTTGTTCAGGTTCTAGGAGCCTGCAAGTTGTATTTAGAGGCTGCATTTTATGATACTTTCTCCTCAACAGCAACCCTGTGAAAACTTTTAGTCAAAAGTGTTTAATTTTGAAATACAGATCAATCATTTATTTCTGTGTGCCCTTACAAAAAACAGGGCATTTAGCATGACCTCAAAAGGAAAAACATTGATGTCTGTCTGCTATTTTTTTCTTTTGAAAAAGCAACTTCCTTAATCCACTATGTCTTTTCCACAGATCTTCATCTAAGCACATCACAGGAGTCCCAGAATATGACTCAGGAATACATACAACACACAAGAGCTTCAAAACATCACCTCCAATCTCTTAATGCTGCTGAAAATTTTCTAGTGTTTCAGTGACAATACTGAGATTTAAAATGTCTTAAGACTATTAGCAAAATCTGCCCTAAACAAATCCTATGTTTTGCAAATTGCTCTTTCATAATGAAAAAGCATGCACTTTCCAAAATTAGACAGAACAGAATGCCATCTTATTTTGTATTGTAAAACAATGCAATCATGGATCATAAGCACCCAGACTCAACTTTTATTAAAGCCTCCAGTTTTTAGCATCTAAGGCTTGTTCTCAAAGCCACATTGCTCCAGCCAGATTCATCTGGCAGCAGACACAGGTGGGTTTTTACTATTTAAAGAAAAACAATAGCAAGAGTTGAAAAGGTTTATCAATAACATTAGACTGACTGAAATAAATGCTCAGGCCTTTCTTTTTTCCACAGTGAGTCAGAAATGCTAACAGTTAAGGTAAATGTGTGCACACTGGCACTGCCTGACCCGCTGAAGCAGAGGGCTGAGCCACCCGTGCCTGCAGCAGCTATTACCTTTCTGGAGGCAGATCTCACAGATAACATGGCCACAGCTTGTGAGGCTGAACCGTGGGGTGGGCTTGCAGGGCTCACAGAAGCAGACGTTGCAAAAGACCGGGACGGCCATGGGTCGGAGGGGCAGGAGGGCCCGGCAGGGAGCAAGCGTCTAAGACAGATGCTGACCCTCCTTACCGCCCCCGGGGTGAGGCCTACAGGCCTCCCTCCGCCATGTTCCTCCAGTCTGAGGCACCACCGGGCCCTGAGGTGAGGGGTGGCAGCGCCCCTCCCCCACCCGGGGGGGCCTGAGGGCAGCAGAGTTTGACCCTCTCACCCCCCGAAAAAGGGGGTTTTCTGGCTTCTCACTACCAAACTGGAGAGGGTGCCCACGCAGGGGATCCTCTCTGAGAGATTTCCCCCTCCCTTCCCCACACATGGGCAACTGAACTGGACTAATCTCTGGGTAGGTGCTTCGCCACGAGCCCTGTCCTCCTCACAGAGGCGGCCATGCCG